AAAATAGTTTTAATCTTAAACCTACATGTTCCTTGAATAATTTCTCCTGCATTTTGTTCTTGTTCAGAAAATAGTGTCGGGCCCATTCGCCAGAAGTCAGACATTTAAAAGCCTTCTCCAAGTGCTCATCTTTCTTAAAACGTTCAATGACTTCCTTCAGCTCCTCTTGTCTTCCTTTAATAGGCCGAAACCTGCGAGAAAGCAAACAGCAACGTCGGCCGCCTGCCGCAGCCTGGATGCTGCCGAGACCGACAAAAGCGCCCAGTGATCGTGACAGCCGCGCAGGCAACGCGGGTCACCAGCAAACAGAGGTCTTTCTTCGAACTGTATTTCTCTGTACTTTTATTTCACTGCATCTCACTAACTGAAGGTGACCAGATGATTCAAATGAAAGCGGTCTGATCCAGGCTAACCCACGGCACCTACTTTGGAAAGTATAAAACGAAAGCTCTAGAACGAAGCCTGAGTCATCAAGAGAACAGCAAGAATTCTGAAAGCATGCAGAAGCCAAGCCACGAGCGCAAGGCTACGCGCCCCGGGAGAAAGCTGAAGCAGCTGTGGGCACCAGCGGGCCCAGTGAGGAGTGGGAACGTGGCCTCAGGCCTGCGTGCGGAGGGGGGGGCAGGAGCTGCAGACACCAGCTGCAGCGTCCCTGGGGCGTCCTGGCTATAGGCTGGTGGCACTCAGCTCTCATGATCACTGAGTGCAACTATCTGGAAGAATCAAAAGCGTCCTCGAGCCGTTACAGGAAGCAACAGAGATGGCTCGCTGTATTTCCCACTTGCGCTTGGCCTCACAGAAAGACTAGATGTCCTTTGAATGCTCTGGAGTGCCTTCAGCAGCTCAAGCTGTCAGCTGCGGCATCAGAGAACCATCGCGAGAGTACGAGATCAGCAGAAGCGTGGAAGTAGCCACGCTTCCAGAGCCACAATTTCAAGCCGCCTCCCTGAACCATCCTGTGATTCCGTCCAGACAGATCCCTAAGAAACGTTGCTGAGCCCTTCCCGGGACCCGTGCGGATGACGGGAGCAGCTGTCAGGCATGGCCGACCACTCCCAGCAATGCAGGGGCCGCGTGGACAGAGCTGCAGCTGAGGCAGGCCCGCCCGGCCCCTGCAGCAGGAGGCAGGCGGCGCGGGCTGCGGGCCGAGGGGGATGTGGCCTGGCGATCCGGGTTCTCCTCTGCGCGGGCCCGCCACTGCTTGCGTCCTGCCGCTCCATCTGCCCGCGGCGAGAGCTGCCTCTCCTTGGAGAGGGGCGGCCCTGGGCGCTTTGTGGGCGCGCTCGGCGTTCCCTTTGCCCTCGGCGCTCACCTCCGGCTTTCGCCGGCTCGTGCGGGTCTCCGCGGGAGCGAGCCCTGCAGGACCCTTTTGGGAAGCGGTGGAAGGTGTCGGGATCCCGGCCCCCACCTCCCGCGAAAACTGCGCTTTCCCCAGTCCTCGCTCACCGCGAAAGCCTGCGGGAAGCTCCAATTTAAGGCAACTGGTTGTTTCTGGCTTTTTTTTTTTTTTTAGCTCAACAGTCTGACCCCCAGAATTGCTTTTTTTGAGTGAGTCTGTAGGCATCTAATTATCTAAAGCGTGTTATTGTCGCCTCTGGAATACGGCAGCTGATCAGTTGATTCTCTTTTGCATACAGTGCGCGTGTGTGCGTGCTGGACTCGAGCAATTAAGAAATTAATAAAATGTTCACGAACATAGGTGAAAGAATTATTAACATTTTTATATGCCGCTGCAAATGAATACCTTTCAAAATCAAAATGATACAAATTTATGGCTCCAGTTTTGATTACTCAGTAGAATCTTTACGTATTTATGTTAGACAGTTATCTTAGTAAAACAACAGAATGGCTTTATTAGGCGTGAAATGTTGTTTCAGATGGTCATAACCTTTAAGACACAACTAATGTATCTCTCCCTTTATATTTTTACGAAGTTGGAGAACAATGATTCTCTAAAAGAAAAAAGTAAAATTGAAGCAGATTACGCATTTTTCATCAAAAGAATTTTAAAGTAAAAATACATGTTCTTGTGTAGGGGAGAGATAAGGAACAACAATGGTGTTTTAGTAGAGCAATTATTTGTAACAGTTTTATTGTAAGACTTTTGGGCATAATTTAGGTACTTATTTGGGAAAAAGATTGTTTCTGATGAATATAGTCAACATTTAACTTTGTCCCAAAATGTAAGAACTCCAGTTTTACAATAAAGGACACGATGGAATAACTTAGCATCAGTAAGATTGTGTAGCTATTCAGTTTTCCTTGGAATCCTTTGGAATATATAATTTGCTCCTCAGTTCTGTGAGTACATAGGAGCAGTAAAGTATTTCAAAGATTCAGTATTTCCCTAGAATCTTTATGACACAAATACCTATTAATCACACAGGTTTTCTTCCCATGTCTCATTTTCATTCTGGACTCCTTGTTTCTCACCAGTGGCAAATGTCAGTTAAAAACTCCCAGCTATCTGATTTACATAGGGATGTTTTACAGGGCAAAGTTGTGTAAATGTTACATAATATTAACAAAACCCAGGCTAATTTTGTTTTTTACTTATATATTTTATGACCTAACAACACTGTTAATGGTCTTAGAGAATTCGAGTTGATCATTCTCATCATACTCAACTGGTGTTGAAAAGGAAAGCATTAGTGCATGAGCTTAGATTCCAAAAACACTTTTAAAAAGGAAAATAAAGATAATAAAATGTGGGCATAAAAGTTAAGAGCATCATAAAAGTTGTTTCCATAATAACTGTCATATTTCTCTTATGTATATATATATATATATATGTATGTATGTACATTTTACAGGGTATCTGTCCTTTTTTGTTTAAATATATTTATGTGTTAGGCCCAAGTGCTGAGTACATTTCTAGCTCACACAAAATTTTTCACCATATTTTCTGATACTGAAAACTTGAATTTTTCTACTGTAGATATACTTATTTTAACTACTTTTGAAGGAGGCATGGGATTATGAATTTGTTTAAATGTAGATAAAACATGTTTATCTTTCATGACTAAGCCACTGAAATACACTGAAATACACTGAAATATCATTAAGAATGAACTAAGACTCTTGGTTTGCAGCAATAAAATCAATGTCGTTAATTAATACTGTTAGAAAGCTATGTATGAATGCATTCTGGAAAAAAAAACTATTTCAAAAAGTTTGCTTTGTTCCTTGAAACAGCATTAAGATTTCCACTCCCTTTAAAATATTCTGCATGCTCAAAGTCAGTAGACTGTGCTTAGCCTCAAGGAACTCTTTGAAAGAAAAAGCATGTGCATCTGAAACAACAGAATGGATACTCAAATATCTTCAAGTTAATAATATATTTTCCTTTTAAACTACAAATGTTAAGGTAGAAAATGCTCATAATTGTTTTTGTTTTTGAGAGGCTAGAAATTATTGAAGAATTTGAAAGCATCGTTTTAAATAATATGTTCCTGTTTTAAAATACATTGTATCCTTTGGCTGGCTACTGTTTTTTAGAAACCAATTTAATATTGGTCTCTGCACTATGAGTACAATTAAAATGGACTAGAATTTTAGAAGCTATATGATCAGCCTTCCTTAAGGCCTTGTGGCACACTTGTAAGCTTTATGAATTAAATATTTTCTAATAACTTTGCTTTTTGCTCAAAGAAAACTGAAGGATTGTATTCCTTTACATACAAGAGTTATTTGAACATCCATGGGGAGGGGGAAGAAAAGTCAGTATGTGTAAGTGCCCATCAGGCATTAAGAAGTTTTAGCTGTTGTACATTCTCTGCATTCTAGCAGGTGTGTATTTTATTGCTGCACATGGAAGATCACTCACCTGCTACAGAGAAGAAAGTTTAAAACTCTTTAAAAATTACCTGTACATAAGTCATTTTTTCCTTGTTCCCTAATATTGATTCTTTCATGGTCAGTGGGCTTAAAGCTTTGAAGTAAGTATTTTTTAAAAGTAGAATTTATTATTTTACAGTTATTTAACTAAACTGGGCAGTTAGAAATACTATTTTGCTGAGTTATACATGACATTTGAGTAGATAAAATAATTTCAGTGAAGTTTGGAAAATTTATATAAAGGAGAGCAATCTACATCCATTTATTAAATATCTTCAATTGGTAGGGCATACATTGACTCTTGGAATTTAAAAGGTCATAGTTTTGGACATTCATCATCACAGAGTCCAGTCATCTCAAATTGAGTCATCACACATGTTGTCAAATAGGCTATAACTCTTAACATTAAAGAAATGTAGATGAGAAATAAGTGATAATTTAAGCATCCAGTTTTTATGTCTAAGCAGTCTGTAGTTTTGAAAAGATTTTATGCATCCTAGAAAAACCATGTCTGTTCTTTGGGGCTTCTCATAGAAAGTATGATCTTGTACTTTGAAGCAATACAACTAGTACCATATGGGAATATTTGAGACCTACAGCCAAAAGTTGTAAAAGTCTAGCTAGGAAGAAATGAGTA